AAAAAAAATTTTCAATTTGAAAATCTTGTTTGATGATACAGCTGCTGCTGCTACATTCAATGGTGATGTTCGTTGAGAATTTTATTGATTGGATACATTTTTTTTTCATTATTAATTCTCTCTCTGTGTGTTTGTGTGTGTGTGTTTCATTTTCAATTATGAAAAAAAATGTTTCAATCGCCAAGCATTTGTAATAATTACAATGTTTTTAAATGGAAAAAGAGAGAATATTCTGAATGAAAGAAAAAAAAATTCTCAATTTTGAAATTCTGATGGTCGTGTGTGTGTGTGGCTAATTCAGAATCTAATTAATTAAGAGAAAACGAACAGAATATTCTTATTAATTTAAACAGTTTTTTTGAAAATTTGTGGAGATTCGGCCACCAAATGCAAAAATCAAAAAAAAACTCAAAAATTAAATTAAGTGCCGTTCACATCAACTCAACTCAGTGAAAAAAATATTTAAATTTTTTTTCTTTTTTTGAAAAAAATTAGATTAAATTCATCGTGTGTGTGTGTGTGGTGTATGTCAACTGAATTCGTTGAGAGGGAAAAAAATGTGAAAATTTAATTTTTTTTTGTTTCGCTGTTGAAATAGCCGTAAGGCAAAAGAATTTTTGCATTTCATTTTTTTTTGTTTGGAGAAAAGAATTTCCAATGATGATCGATATTGCAATTAGATCAGATGGGAAAGGTAAAAAAAGGGTTTTTCGCAAAGCAGAGAAACGTAAAAGGGAAAAAACCAATCAAATTAATAACCTGGGCGTCGTTTTTTGGGTGGTGGGAGAATCGGTTACATTCGGTGAAAGATTCAAAGATAAATATTTGACAAAATGGATAAAAAAGATCACCACCGCCACCACAACCATTATCAATCATTAACAATGATGATGACAACAACAACAACAAATTATCACAACCAACCGAACGAACCAAAGAATCATTATGGTTATCTACTTATCGTTGATGAAAAAAAATTTGAAAAAAAAATGAAAGAAAATTGAAAAATTATGGAAATTTTTCGTTTCCCATTTCAATCATATTGACGACCACACACCAACCAACCAACCATACAATCCTATGAAAAAATCCATTATCCAAAAATGATAACAGAAATGACAGAATTCACAAACGATGATGATGATGATAATTTAACCACCCACTCATCATTATCCAAAAAAAAAATAACCCCCGATTAATATTAGATCAATTTGATCATTTCTGGGTGAACAATAATCAAAATCATCATTATCATCATCATCATCGTTATAATGATTCCCGTCGAATAATAACAACAACAACAACAAAGAACATTCAATGATCATTGTAAAAAAATATACAGAGGAGATTTTTTTTAAAAAAAAAGGATTGATTTCACAACAGAATAAAAAGAATCGATTTGATTTTTGTGGAAAAAAAAGAACTATTTCTACCATTGAATAGATTGACAAATCATCACATAGAGAGCAAGAGAGAGATAGAGATGACAATAATTCAATTTACATGATAGAATTCAATAATAATAATAATCACCATAATCATCATCATCATCATTGAAGACATTTTGAAAATTATAAGCATCATT